GGCTCCTCTCAGAACGGGACGTGAGCGCTGGCTCCCTCACTTAGGGACTCTGGCGAACTCATTACGTCTCGGAGCCTCAGGTAACCCCTCAACCCTGAGATGGAGACTGAACTGGGTACGAGGTCTCTTCTACCTTTAACTCCTAGGGACCTTTTATGACAAGATTTTTTTTCCTACTAAATAGGTGGTATTAATTTAATTCTTTTTTTAATTCATCGAACACTGTATCGTATCAACTATTGCTTCTAATAATGGTGAAATAGCCTGTATCGCTGTCTAGGTAAAATTCCATCAAGAAATAAAAACGATACAAAATCTTTGGTTCACTTTTGCAACTAAATTGGCGATTAACCTACATTTCCCGTTGGGCTTTTTGATGTATTGGATCTAATTCTCAGATTCCCAATACTAGTTGGAATCCATTAAGCTTGAGCCTCAGAACAGTCCCCTCTAACAGATGAGCCAGGGTTGACTTCTTGCTGCCCCTCCCAGTCCCTCGGAGTGCGCCCGAGGTCAGGAGCACGTGCCTGTCCCCTCCATCCTCCATGGGTGTGAGAGGAAGAAAAGACCGCGTCTGATTCATATTGTGACCCAGCGCCACAAGGAGGATGTGATCCGGATAAACCTGCGCAGACATGTTTGCCTGTGTGCAGTCTTCCATCAGGGCTTTCTGTTCACTGTGAACTCAAGTAGCAGCACGAGTGGAACCGTAACTTCCTAGCAACCCCTGTCATCCTATTCACAAGGGATGCCTTGCTAGGGATGGTTATCTCTGTGGTCCTAACGGGAGCTGTGAGTGACCTACATTTCTTTCAGCAAGCCACTTGCAGAATGTCTGCCAGTGTTAAAAAAAAAAAAAAAAATAGAGTTTTTTCATCCTAAGGTTATTCTCAACTTTATCCCCCAAACTTAGCCTGAAACTGTTACTCAAAAAAGAGCCTCTTCTTTCTCTCTCACACAGATTTCACACAACCACTTCCCAGAATCTCATAGCCTCGCTTCTGTACTCCAGAGCCTTCTCTTCTAAACGGTGGTAACTGCTAGATCATAACTTTGTTACCTCCAAAAGTCAAGCGGCTTTGTTTTAAGCATTCACTGTCCTCACTGCAGCCAGAAGGGAATGTCAGGGGGGTTGGAGAGGGGGGGAAGGAGGGACGGGGAGAGGAAGTGTCAGAAACTCAGCAAAGCAGGGATTTTTTTTCTCCGTAAGATGGCATATTAGAAGCGACAGTCTGTGGAGTTTCTCCTCCCCCGCGAATCCGAGCTCTGGTTTCTGGATTTATTGTGGCACCGGTAGCAGGGCTGCAGGCAAGTGTTCTCAGGGCTTCCATCAGAGGCTCCTTTTCCGAGTTTATTGCTCGACTGTTTCAAATTATGAGCGAAACTTGGCACATAGGTTGTTGAGCTGTGTTACTTTTTTCAACATAAAATCTAATTTATTTCAGTTTGTTTTCAATCTAGAGATGGGCCAACAACTCTCTTCATAGTTTTAGAAGATTTTATCATCATTCTAAATAACGTGTCTGTTCAAAAGAAAAGAGAAACGAACCTGTATTTTTCCAACTTAATTGTTCAGAGTGGGGGTTTTTGAAACTGTTTGTTGAGAAATTTATTTTTACAGAGAATTTAATTGATATGCTTGCTATCTGTTTGCAGATCATTTCACCATGTGTAGTGCAGCATGTATGAGCCGGTGCAGGGCTGTCAGAGTTCAGCCGACTGTTTTTACTGTGCATTGTTCCTCCCGTTAGAGCAGTGGTTCTCAAGCTTCCTAATCCGCGACCCTTTAATACAGTTCCTCATGTTGTGGTGACCCCAACCATAAAATTATTTTCGTTGCTATTTCATAATTGTAATTTTGCTACTATTATGAATCGTAATGTAAATATCTGATATGCAGGATGTATTTTCATTGTTACAAATTGAACATAAAGCATAGTGATTAATCACAAAAACAATATGTAATTATATATGTGTTTTCTGATGGTCTTAGGCGACCCCTGTGAAAGGGGTCGCGACCCACAGGTTGAGAACCGCTGCGTTAGAATGTCAGCATCCTGAAGACCTGATGTTCCCATCCCAGGGCATGCACCCGGGGGAGGTCACTTAAACCTCTGCTCATTCAACCAGCCGCCTCCGCTCTGCAGAGGCAGCCGGCTTGGGGCCTGGCTCCACGCGCAGAGGGCTAGGACCGCCCCTACCAATGACTGGTTCGCATTCCTTGTGCATCAGCTTTCTGCGACCTGGCCTGCCATCTCTCCTCTCTCGCTTCTTTTTGTTGTTGTTGTTACTCCTCACCCGAGGATATTTTTTCCATTGATTTTTAGAGAAAATAGAAAGGAGGGGGTAGGAGGAGAGGAAGAGAGGAGAGAGAGAGATACATCGATGTGAGAGACACACTGATTGGCCACCTCCCGCACGTGCCCAACCAGAGCCTGGGATCGAACCTGCAACCCAGGTACATGCCCTTGACCGGGAATCGAACCGGAGACCCTCCCATGCATGGGCTGACACTCTAACCACTGAGCCACGCCGGTCAGCGCCCACCCTTATTTTTTTACCATTTTTCATCTGTGTAGGAGCGTTGAGTTGATTATCAGGTTTGAGATTATTTTTCACTGTCCACCTTCTTAAGGCCAGACAACATTAATTAAATGGTTGATTTCATCTTTTATTTATTATGTCATTGACTCAGCGAGTCAGGGAGTCGTCCTTCTCACTGTTAGCCCTCAGAACATCCAGTCACAACAATGACTGTTGTGTCGACAGCCCTCAAACTCACACTTAAAAGTCATTGTTCACCACTGGCAGGTGCTCAGAGAGGGGCCCTTCCTGGCGAGCTGGCTTTTATTAAAGCACCGCTATCTAAAGCACCGCGCATTGTTGCTGGGCGGTAACTACTACTCATGTTGTCATTGGTGCCCACTTGTTGGGCATTATTAGCAGAAAATACTAAGTCCCTTTTCTTGGCAATACTTTGAAAAGTCTAAACTCCAAAGAATTTAGGGAAATATTCGAGAAACCATCCACCAATTAAGCCACTGAAAGTTCTGGCTATACTTACAGGCCTTTGCCATACAAAGAAAATTCAACATTAACCTGTGATTTCTATGGCCCTGTGTGCCTTAATGGGTTATTGGGGCTTAATTCTTTATTAACATCATGAAGCAATAGTTATTATTTAAATACTAGAGGCCCAGCACGTGAAATCACGCAAGGCCGAGACCCACCCTGTGCGAGCCGTGGGCCCTGCCTCCGCCACACGAGCCCCGCCAGCCCCACACAAGCCCCGCCTCGCCAGTTGTTTGGTCATTCTGCCGTTACGGCGTGATGACCACAGGCCTTTTATGATACAGATATTTGACATACACAGATTGTGGCAAAAGTATATAGTTGTGAGTACACAAAACAGAGTTTATTCTTGTATTACAATTTATTAATTACTGTATTATTTTCCATACAAACAAGTGTAAACCTACTTTTCCCCCAACCTGCATATCTTCTTGAAAATATTATCATACTCAAAACTAAGAAAAATGAAATATCAGGGACAACTGAAAACATAGGGAAAGATTTGAATAGTATTCTGTTCTTCCATATCAATAAATGGCACTCACTGTTGAGTGGTCAAACCAAGTAATTTTGGGGGGAAAAAGATAAATCTTATTTTGACTTCTAAATATGAAAAAATGTGAATTTTTTTTAACAAAATATATTTTTTCTCCATATTTAATGTTTTAGTATTATCTCTTTTGAGAGTGAAGATAATGCCCAGGGGGATCGTAATGAGGGCACTGTTGAGTATGTGCTCAGAACTACTAGATAACATGTTTAGACACGTAATGATTTAACATTGTGTTAAGACTGTACCCTGAGCAAGAGCCCGCCTCTTGGACTTGTTTATCTTCTGTGTGAGGACAACTGACTGTCCAATGCCAAAATGCAATGAACTTTCAAATATCAAAGAGGAAAATTAAGTATTTCAAGTCCTCAGCTGGTTTACAGATGTGTGAGCTTTGTAGTCCATTCTCTGGTTCCAGTAGGGCGTTGTGACAATTTTTCCAATATGTGTACACTAGATAAGTTCTGGAAGCAAAATTACTTACTCTAAATACTGAAAACGTTTTCTGAATTGAAACTTTTAACGTTTATTTTCCTTTAAAAATGAAGACTAAAACCCAGCTTCACAATTTTTAAGAAACTTTTGAATGTAAAATGCATTAAATTAAGGGACCTTTCTCTGTCAGGAAAAGACATGCCTTTTGAAACAGGTATTCATTTAGATCTATGATTAACCTTTAATAAGATCTTCCTGTTAAATTCTACATTTGCTTTAATCTCGGTAGGAAAAATACAAACTAGTCTTGCACATATAGAATTTCTATATACCCTGTGGACGTTAAATGATCTCTTACAGCGAACGGCACATCTGCAACGTATTTAAATGCCAGCGTTAGGCATTATTAGTATAAAACGCTAAGTCACTTTTTTTGGAAATATTTTGAAAAGTTCAAACTCCAGGAGGAAACTCCAATCACTTGTAATCTTATGATACCATTTGTTGGAGGGCGTGTGGGAAGATGGGTGCTGAACGCACATTTTTCATTTGGGGGAAAAGAGAGGAGAAGCCTCAAGTCTGGTGGAACCATTTCTGTGCTATCACTGGTGTCCTTATGCACCATTTCAGACACTGTGAAATGCCCTTCAATCCACGTTATCAGTCGTGGTGTAGGTGACAGGAGTCATCACATCTGGGGCTTCCTCCACATTCTGAGAGTCTGTGAGTTTATCAAGTTCAGAAATGATGATGGGTTGTTTTTAAATAATAAACCTAATCCTAGGTGCGTGATACACGGAGAACCTTGGTGACGGGTCTGCAAGTGTGTACGTTTCTCCCAGGAAACATTCCACGGAACCTTGTGATTGCGTCACAGGTTGTTTTTTCTCTTGCCTTGAATTTTTTCGCTCTGTCTCTCTTTTTCTTAAACGCATCCTTGAAGGTCAAACATTCGGGACAATGTAGAGATGATTAAGCTTCATAAGCAGCTGGTGGAGAAAAGCAATGCTCTTTCAGTAATGGAAGGAAAATTTCTTCAGCTTCAAGAGGTACTGTGATCAGTTATTTTATTATGGTGATACATATGCTCAAAGCTCCAAAAATAGTGTTCAAGGTGTATATTTTTAAGTAGAATAGTCATAATACTAAAAAGTAATTTTAAAAGATTACTATTTTTATTCCCAATTTTGTATAATTTCACTCTATGTATTATGTGTTATTATAACTTAATACCTAAAGGAATAACCAACTGGTTGGACTTTTTATAAATATCTGTGTCATCTTAAAATAACAAGTACATTTGTCATAAATAATCTCATGCCAAGAAAAATTATTTTTAACTCCTTTTATCTGCATTTACGTGGCACATAGCACTGAAGGTTTACAGGTGTCTGCATATATCTTCAATTCCAAGCATTTATGATATACCAAGATAGACCAAAGTTATGAATAGGCCAATAGTCAGGTTTTATGAAGTCTCTCTCTGATGTGGTGTTTTGCTTTGTTTTGTCACTACCATTATCAGAAGAATATTTGAGTACCCATCAAGTCAACTATCAGTGTGTTTATTTAAACTTTAACTATTTAGGTTGATAGTACTTGGGACTATTCACCCCCATAATCGTTTTAATAAAGACTGTGGCCCCCGGAAAGTGCCATCGGAGGGCTGTATTGCACTGCATCATTAACCTAGGTTCTGGGATTAATTAACTCCCAACGTTCCCGATGGGCAGAGTTCACAGTAAGCAGTCTTGTGGTCCCCCCTGACCTGCGGCTTTGCTTCCCGAGGTTTCCATTATCCACGGTGAACTGCAGTCCAGAAATATTAAATGGACAATCCCAGAAACAAACAATTCATACGTTTTGAGTTGCATACCGTTCTGAGTCGTGTGATGAAATCTTGGGCCCTCGAGCTCTGCCCTGCCTGGGCCATGGATCATTCCTTTGTCTAGCAAACCTACCCTGTGTATGTCACCTGACTGTTAGTCACTTAAGCGCCATCTTGGTTATCAGAGAGAGAGAGAGAGACCATAGTCACATAACTTTTATTGCAGTTTATTGTTACAGTTTCAGGCATTCACTGGGAGTCTAGGAACATGTCCCCAGGGACAAGGGGGTGATACTCTGCTTTTTTGTGGTGTTTTGCTTTGTTTTGTCACTACCATTATCAGAAGAATATTTGAGTACCCATCAAGTCAACTATCAGTGTGTTTATTTAAACTTTAACTATTTAGGTTGACAGTACTTGGGACTATTCACCCCCATAATCGTTTTAATTAAGACTGTGGCCCCCAGGAAAGTGCCATCGGAGGGCTGTATTGCGCTGCATCATCAACCTAGGTTCTGGGACTAATTAACTCCCAACGTTCCCGATGGGCAGAATTCCCAGTAAGCAGTCTTGTGGTCCCCCCTGACCTGTGGCTTTGCTTCCCGCGGTTTCCGTTATCCATGGTGAACTGCAGTCCAGAAATATTAAATGGACAATCCCAGAAACAAACAATTCATACGTTTTGAGTTGCATACCGTTCTGAGTCGTGTGATGAAATCTTGGGCCCTCGAGCTCTGCCCTGCCTGGGCCATGGATCATTCCTTTGTCTAGCAAACCTACCCTGTATATGTCGCCTGCCTGTTAGTCACTTAAGCGCCATCTTGGTTATCAGAGAGAGAGAGAGAGACCATAGTCACATAACTTTTATTGCAGTTTATTGTTACAGTTTCAGGCATTCACTGGGGGTCTAGGAACATGTCCCCAGGGACAAGGGGGTGATACTCTGCTTTTTTTGAAGTGTAACATGAACTTCAGGAGTAAATTTATTTGTAGAATTGTAGTCACTTATTCAAATCATAATCCAAAAATACTTTTTAAAAGTTTCCTTCTGGTTTTTAGAAGCAAAAAACTCTCCGGATCAGCCACGATGCCTTGATGGCGAATGGAGATGAGCTGAACCAGCAGCTTAAAGAGCAGCGTGTGAAGTGCAGCCGTCTGGAGAAACAGTTGCACTCCGTGACGATTTCCGAGAGAAGGATCGAAGAGGTAAGCCTCCAGAGCGCTCGCATCCGCTGCGTAAAACCGCTCTGTAACTGACAGCTTGGAAAGGTAAAATAGGGACATTTCAAATATTCTATTCATTTAAAAATCTAAACTACACGCGTGGCACTGTGAGCACAGCAAAGCGTAGTCAACATGTCATGGGCATGGCAAGTCAGGGCCTAAACATACTTGCACATGTGCTGAGAGCCACTGTTCACGTGAGAATTAAAGGTCGTTGAGGAGAAAGAAAACGCTTGGAAACGGGTTACCTGTGGAACTCGGCCTCCTCGGTTGTAAGTTTATTAGTCATTTGCAAAACCAAAACAAAGTCATAGGAATATATTTGGTTCTGAAGAGAAGGGTGTTGTATTTTGCAACGTCAGCAATTTTGTGAAAAAAAATTTTTTTTTTCCTCTTGCACACCCCCGACTGGGGATCAAGCCCACAACCCGGGCGCGTGCCCTTGACTGGAATTGAACCTGGGACCCTTCAGTCCACAGGCCGAGGCTCTATCCACTGAGCCAAGCTGGCTAGGGCTGCAATTTTATTTTTTTATTCATATATCTAAAGGATGTGCTGCTGGCTTTGTGTAAGTTCCAGGTGACATGAGAAAGTGTATCTTCAGAGTCAATAGTGATTGACACATTTCTGTGAACCACGAACCAAAAGAAAAGTTAATCCTTTTACTTTTTTTATGGGCCAATTGGAAATTAATACAAAGTGAATAGAACAGTGGGATTCACTGGGGAGGAAAGAAAAGAGTGTTTCTCCAGATTAACAGCAAGCTTTTCACACATTCTTTATTGAGTTTTGGCACAGGTTGCCATAAAGTAGTGCATGCGTTTCTACTAAATTAAAACAGAGATATTAATTTCATGTTTACTTAACTGGGGAAAAAATCAGTTCTAAATTAAATACAGACAATATAAGTGGCCTAGTTAGCAGCTGCAATTTAGAAATCAAGACTGAGCCATGTTAGCCCCCTCTCCTGTGTTTTTACCCCCTGCGGTTTTATATGAGAATCTCCTAATGTGTAATTTTCTTTTCATTTTAGCTGCAAGATAGAATTAATGACTTGGAAAAGGAACGGGAACTTTTAAAGGAAAACTATGATAAACTTTATAACAGGTAAGTCAGAATTCCATGTGTTCTCTCAGTCACTTGTCTGAGATCTTGTCTGTCAAAGCCTTGGGTATCAGGCCATCTAATATTTATTTAAAAATTAGTTACAGATGATTGCAAGAAATATATATGTTATAAAAGTAAGTAAGCTTTTTGGGGCATTGGTAATAAGTCCTTTAACCTGAGTGGTAATGTGTTAACTTAGAAAACTGTTGCTTTGTTACCAGTAACAACCACTGTTGTTCATTGAACACAGACGATAAGCGAGTAGGCCCTGTGCTAAGCACTCTGCCTACACTATTGTCAATTGCTCACAACAGCCTGGAAATGTAGGCATTGTAAATGCCCATTTGCAGACAGTGAAACTAAAACAGAATTAAGACCTTGCCCTCGCCCTTAAAGCTCTGAGGTAGCAGAGCTTGTATTTGAACCTCTGTAGGTCTCTCCAAGCCCCTGCTTCTTCCAATGGGCTACCCAGCCTGCGAGCTGAGAGTGAGCCTCTTGGTGGAGGCAAACCTCAGAGGGGAGGTAGGGGAGGGTGAGGGTAAGGGGGAGAGATCAACCAAAGGATGTGTATGCATGCATATAAACCTAACCAATGGACACAGACACCAGGGGGGTGGGGGTTAAGGACACATATGTAATACCTTAATCAATAAAGAAAAATAAAATAATAAGAAAAGAAAGTGTTCACTTACAATTGTCTCTGTGCCTTACAAAGAGTAGCACAGCATTTCTATCTCAAGATAAATTTGAAAGAACTGTTTCGATTTTGTTTATCTGCTTCCTAATTCAGGTATTTAAAAAAATCTCTTGTAATGTTAGAAACAGATTTCTACTCCACAGCTAAGTTTAGTTAAGTGACACAGGTGTGTGTGTGTGTGTGTGTGTGTGTGTGTGTGTGTGTGTGTGTGTGTTTAGTATATGATACTAATAAATTATAAATGCACCTGTACATGAAATTAAATTTAAATACATTGAAATATACATGGTAGTGCTGATATCAACAGTTGCTTCTATTGATCATATTTTGTAATAGCAAAAAATAGATGATCTACAGATACATCTTTAACTTTTTAACTATGTTTTATGTTTTGTAAACTAAATGTATATTTTTAAAATTAAATCCTATCTAAGGAGTGTAGTGATAGGTTCTTATTAGCTTTTACTTTGAAAAGAAATGTAACTTAATGTTAGGCATCATTCCAACAGTATGTATCATCTATGTTGCCTAACTATGGTGTTTATCTTTGCACAGTGGCCCATTATATTGAGGGTTACAAAGAGCAGGTTCAAACATCAGTCAAATAATATCTGAGGCTCCCCAGCAAGGACAGCCTGGCTCGGCATCTTTAGTGGGATTTGCCTTAAACCCTCGTCCAGGTCATTTGGCCCTAGTGCTTTGTTCTGGTCCCTCTCCTGACCCCTAATTCATTTCACCCGAAGCATTTCTTCTACCTCTTGTTTTATATTTCCAGCTCTATGAAACAATATGTAGGTTTATATTGTTTTATACCCAAGTGTGTTTGAAAAATCCAAGTTTCAGTATACAGATCACACAGCCACCATATTCTATGGTGGAGAGAATGTTATCCTCACGTTTTATAAGTGAGGAAATTGAGACTCAAAAACAGTGAGACTTGTACAGAGTCACAGGGCGTTGCTGAGACTCCGGTGCAGGACTGAAACCCAATTCTTTTGATTCTAAACTTGATTCTCCGGGCCCCCCACCCCCCACCCCCCATGCCTCACTATCTCTCTGATTTTAATTGGATTGGAAAATTGTGTATGAGAAAGGGAAACATTCGTGGAGTAACAAAACTGTCAGATTCAGAAATTTTTATTGATTTTATCTTCAATACCTTGTCATTTCAAATATTTTAACATAGTCTCCAAACAAGAAAATCAGTGCCATTTGGCCATTACCTATACATTCTCTACTTCTTCCCAATTAGGAGATTTACTGAACATACCTTTTGGAGTAAAAAACTTATGTGGGAATAATGCATAAGTGGAATTTTGAGAAAGACATGTTTTTCTCATTTTACTTTATCACCATGAAACTTTATCTTTTCCTATTAGAAGATGATCTAAGAGTGTAAATATAACTCTGAATGTCTTTTTTTCTTTTATGTTTTATGGTTGAGCTGCATTTTTTTTTTCTGTTACGTTAAACAGACTTCATTATGCTGCTTACACTTGAATGTTGTGTCAGGCATATGGAAGTAAATGTGTGTAATGAGTGTCATAACATTGTGTCCAAAAAAATACTCCTGCCACTTAAGCACAAAACCCCGCGAGCACACACATAATAGTAAATAGAACTATAACATTCTGTAATACAGCTTTTTTTAAATATATGTTTTCAGAAGTTGGAGAAACTACAAAACTCAACAAAAACTCCATAAACTGCAGATATCAGCATCATTCCTAAGATTCTTTACAGCTCTTGTGTTTCGTGGCACTGTTATTCATCATTGCCAACAACTAGCGCTCATCCAAAACTACACACACTCTCGGTTTGGTTAGTCACAGCGATAGCATGTTTGTAAAAGGGGAGCGTTTGTTTGTTATCCAAAATTGGCCCGTTGTCAGGAGAAAAATGTGATGTGCAGATTGCATTCTCATCTTCCATTTTCAAATGAAATTTTGAATGTGTTTATTACTTGACAGATGACATATTAGAGAATCATCTGGTAAGATAAAACCCTCATGTTAGTATTGGGAATGAGCCTTTTTTTAATATGTTAAAACATTTTGGATACAATGCCAAGACATAAGCATAGCTTTAAGAAATGTCAGTTTAAAAATCCAGAATAAATTTTTTGCAATTACATCTTTTTATTTGGTTAGAGAGAAACTCTACACAATAAAATAGTAAAGCTGCATCCCATTTTTGAAGTTAGCGTAGCTTTAGGGTGATGTGATTAATGAATGCAAGAGCCCTGCAGCAATCCTGTAGGTGAGTAACCTGGAAAACAGCAAACATAGGTTTCCCTGCCCCTTTGGAACCTCTGCACCCACTACCATCCAATTCAGAGTCAGTCCGTTTGAGATTGGATCCAGAGAATCTGTAAAGGTGATTGATTGTAAGGTATGAACTCCCTGAGAGACTAATCTAATGCCGATAGTTTAAAAAAGAGTTGGTCTGATTTTTGAAGATGACATTAACTGTTTTAAGAATTGGGTGAATCAAGTTTTTGCAATGTGATGGTCACCTAATATTCAAAACTTAAAGGAGCAAGGCTGACCCCCACCGACTCTGTGCTCCGTCTCTGTGAAGTGAGCTGTCCCTGCAGCCTGCCAGGAATCGTGAACGCTCGTGTGATCATGTGTGAGCACTGTGCGCCTCCCAGAAACCAACCCGAGTGCGTCTGGGCCATCATTTCTCCTTCAACAAGTGAAATATCCCTGATGTAGATATGGATTTAATTCCCAGGAGGCCCCCACTAAAGTACCTGTGGGCTTCTTTCGGGGTGATGTAGAGCTTAAACTTCCGTCTCCTTAGGATGCCCTGGGAGATTAGAATAAGTGGCATTTGTCCTATAAGAACCACAATCCTAGGGTGGAGATGAACCGCTCAGCTCTATTTCCATGCGGCCCTGTGCTTGGTCAGGGTGTGTGTTTCCGCTGTGCTGACCCAAAGCTCCAGTGGGCATTGCACTGCAGGTTGACACTCTATCACTCCTGCAACGCCATGTAACAATGAAATGTGCACCACGACCAACTGTGAATCCCCTCAGTTGTCACTGTAGGCAATGTACAAAGACATTTTCATGAGTAAAAGGCTCGCAAAGGCTGCGCTCATATGCAGATCTAATCATGTACACAGCCTTCAGCGAGAAAATGGAGCCAGATGTGGCTCACCATTTATAGCTGCACAGATGGCTCCAAGCGCAGAGGAATACAGTAAATTCAAAAGGAATCCCTCATGAAACTCCAGTGGAATGTAATCCTAAATTTAGAGGGAAGATAGCAGTGGACTAAATTCAGATTGACTTACGCTGATTTACACTAGTATTTTGTGGGTTTGGAAAAACCAGGCTGCTAAATTGTTCTTAATTTAAACACACACAGCTTCTGATGTTTCTGCCAGATTAACTGTTGGTGATCTCTTTGCTGGTACTAATGCTATTGGAACACTACTGTTTCTAATTTTTGGCATCTGATATAATGTATACTTGTGCCTATTTCATCATGCTAATTTTTTTCCGAGTAGTACATGTTTTTAATAATATCACACACACACACACACACACACACACACACACTGACATGCATGTATATATATATGTATGCCTTTGAGATATATAATTACACCAGACAAAGAAATCATATTTGTTCTTTATTTAAAAGTGAAAATGTAAAGGAATATTCTTTACGTTAGTAGATAAAGTACATATTGTGCTTGGATTTCATTTAAGTCTGGGTAATTGTATCTTTTTAAAATTAATTAAAAATATTGGTATATCAGATCCATGCGGTTTTTTTTCAGGTTCCATATGTGAAAGGAGAACACTGCTAGATGAAACAGATGTCCTATTTAGAAAAACTTCTAGAATTCCATTCATTTCTAAGGTCATGTTAGTTTAAATGCAGTAAAAGCATTCAAAATGTAAAATGAATGCACAGTTTTTCCTTTGAAAGCTATGCCTCCCAGAAAAGTATCTCTTTTGGTACAAAAACCTCAAGACTAGCTGGGAGCAACATTAAGGGCAATTTTCAATAACAGCTTTCATTTTCTTCATCATCAGTACAAAAGCAGATTTTATAAATTTTTGTTTCATTTACTGGATTTCAAGTAAGTAGAAAGGTCAAAGCTGCTGATAATTATTCAGTCATATCAAGCTTCACAGATAATAGTTTTCTGCTGAAATACAGATCAAGATGGGTTTTTCCAAACCTGGCCATCACCTGGGCGCTCTGTCAAAGTAGGAATTCCTGGGCCCTGGGATCTTCATCTCTAAATCTCTCCAAGTGTTCTGAGTGGAGCTGGTCTAGCATGAGTAGCATTTGGGAACCGCTGGCCTAAACGAGTGTGTAGTGTATTCCTTCTGTTTACCATTTAGTTATATTGCAGCCAGTTCTTCCAGCCTTGGTCCTTGGTAGATTTTAACAACAGATTAAACTGCTGCACTTCCCTTGAGGGACAGTAATTCCACCTTTGTCATTCTTATCGGGGTGTTCTTCTGGGTTTTCACCCCCATCACGTGTTACAAGTAAGACTTGTTCTTCAGCCTGTTGCTTTTTGTTTTTTTAGGACAAAAACTGCCTTATCACTACTTACCATCAGAACCGCTGCCTTGCGGTTCACTCTGCTATCACTTTCCAGCCAGTATTTTGTGACTTTGTCATTATCACAGGCTGGTTAAATGTTCCAGATTCTAGAGTCCCTGTAGGAAGAGGGTTTGTGGCGGGGAGCAGGGCCCTGTCCGACAGCGAGGCTGAGGTCTGGCGACGCGGATTCCTCTGGAGCACGTACAGTATCGGAATTCCTGCCCTGGTCCCACAAAAGCCGCTCGCTGCCAACTCCTCTGACTTGAGAGCTCTAAATTAAGGCCAGTTCCTTTGCTCATCCCACAAACCCTTTCATGTTCCCTAACCGCAGCCTGAGGAAGGCGCCTGGGTCTCACCAGCAGCAGACCAGCACATGTTTACTTAATTCCTGAGACATGATGACAGTGGTCCCTGTGCCACTAAACGCTTTTCTCGCGTATTTCCGGTCGAGGCTGCTGTCTGAGCTGCCTCGCCTGTCCCGTGTCTTGCAGTGCCTTCGGTGCTGCCCAGGAGGAGCAATGGAAGGTGAAGGAGCAGCAGCTGAAAGTACAGATTGCGCAGCTCGAGACGGCCTTAAAGTCCGACCTGACCGACAAAGCGGAAATCCTCGACAGACTAAAAACCGAAAGAGGTACCTGCGAAACGGCCACCGCGTGCACGTTCAGGCCTGTGTTGACTCCGTTACTCACTGGCCCCATCCGGGCTCCCTGGGGGCCTTCTGTTGGCCAGGCCCCCGGCCGTGGACGGGAGACACAGCCTGTGTCTGCAGCCGTCCGCTCCCCGTGTGTGTTGGTGGCTCAGACCTTTCTTTTACTCATCCTAGCCTTTGGGCCAAAGGAATTGTTTTTTCTCAGAGTCATTCTTACTCATATTGTCATTAATTCTCCTAAATTTTGAGCCTGTCTTCAGCAGTTCACAAGTGTTTACTGAGCACCGGTATTTGCTCGGCACTGGGATCCCCCAGTGAGTAAGGCGCTGTCCGCAGGCAGCATCCAGTCAGCAGGGAGGAACATGGCAGTTAAGTGAGTGTAGTATGTGCAGCAGTGGCCAGCGCCTTGGGAGTAAGAGCAAGCAGTGTGAGACGACAGTGGCAGGCGCTCGCTGTTTGCTATAGGTCCAGCAGGGAGGGTCTCTGATAATGAGCTACCTAATTCTTCTCTATGACCCTGAACTTACACACCAGAAGCCTTGTCAAGATGTCCCTACTCTGAAAATTCGAGTCAGTGTGGGGAGAGGTGGGCAAAGAACAGGAGTACGGAAGGGAGGTCACGTGGGTATGTGTTTGCTTTATATTGTTTTTCATATTGAGAAGAAAAAACAAGGACTGATGATGAAAAAGAAAAAAAAAGGTGTCCTTGCTGAGTAATAATCATGAATAAGATTCATGTTATGAGTCTTATCTCACTCTTCTTGTCTCATAGAAGTAAAATAACTATAATTAACTGTAGAGGTTTGACTTCTGAATTCTACACATATACGTTACACACAAATGCACAACAGGGAAATGGAATTATTTGCTTCAAATGTTATAGCTGGTGCTCACCCACTAGCTGTTCCTTTGGAACATTTGCAATTTTGTTGTATGAGAACATTTAAAAGTTTAATGCAGGCTCAGTAAAAAAAAATAAATAAATAAATAAATAAAAATTACACGTCTAGTCAGTACTCTATATATTGATTTAGATCACAATGCCATATTTCATTAACTATAGGAAAGATTTTCTTTCCAATTTTAATATTTCTGAAATTGGCACTTTATAAATCATAACATTTAAAAATTATGTTCTGACTTATTTTTAGCATCTTAAGAAGGTTGAAACAGAACACACTTAATAATGGATGTAGTCTTAATTTCAGGAAGACACTTCTGTTTACCCAGTAATTAAATCTGATGAAAGATGACTTATGAATGTTTCTCTAGAAGATTGTGAGTGGAATAAAATGGTGACATGATTTCCGACCAGGGGAATAGTTAAAGTTTTCAAAGATGGAGCTGCAGATGTTACAGCTCAGATCTGAGTCCCTAACAGAGCGCGTTTTTTCAGAGCTGCTCAGTAAATTCTTGCTCACTGAGGGAAGTGCAAGTGCTCTATATTCCCTTTCTCTTTTCCAAAAACATGTACACTTCTCATTCTTAAAGAAAGCAGAAATGAAGTAAAGTTTGCTTACTTCTGTGCTTTTCATACTTCCCTAGATATTAAGAATTCCAGAACTCTTGTCTCTAGACATCCATATTGATCTCTGGAAAGATACTCTTTGTAAGGGGTTTAGAATCTTGTGGCCTTTTTAAAAAACCTGTTTATTGTTCCTGAAGCAATTCTGAGGGTTCTTATAAATTATTAAAGCTACAATTGCTAAGTTATTTTATTTAAACTAGTCCATGTCTCATCTTTTTTTTTTTAAACTGGTTCTTATTTCTTTTAGATTTTTGAATAATAAAAATAACTCAGGTATGCTGTAAAAAATTCCAGTAAACAAAATAAAAAGGTTTTTTTTTAAATCTCTCAATTTCACAACCTTGAAGATAATCTCTTTTAATATTTTTGTATGTCCTTGCAGAGTTTCCTATATGTATACAGTTTTATAACATGCTTTTTTATTTATCATATTTTGAAATCATCCCTTGAGTCTGAATATACATTCACATCATCATCATTTATAATGGTTGTCATAGTTTTTAGGGTGAGGATGTACCATGATTGTTTAACAATCTTCTATTGATGAATTTTTAAATCTCTTTAGTTTTTTAAGTATAAAAAGATCCTAAACAAATCTTTGTACAGTTATTCATTTATTTTCTAAAGAAAAATTACTGCAGCTAAATCTTTATTTTTAATGCAAGTGTTATTTTAAGTTATTTTTGCTTGAACACCTGAAATTTATAGATCTAATGATTTTAAGTGTGTGTGGTTTTATGTGAAAAGTTACAATAGACTATAAGAAAAATATTACAGCCTTTAACCATTTTTTCCAGGGAGACACTAAACCAAAAAATTGAAATTGCCTATTTAAGGAAATCTTTTAATGTTTAGAAAGTTCCTTTTTGTACAACAGATTTTGAAATTGTTTAATTTTGCTTTGAAGTCTCTTCACACACTTACCTTTTCATGTATCCAGTGTTCTTTGCCAGAAGATGTTTCCCTGGCCCTTGTAGTCATTCATCTAACTGGCAGATTATTTTTAAGAATACTCACCTCTTTATTCGAGGTACAAATTAGTTTCAGATTGTGTGAATATGTGGGGGAAGGATATGTAAATGCAGCTTGCATTTGGTTAATGCTTAAATTAACTGCATGTGTGTAAGGGCCTGCTTCGAAAGTTCCTTTCTATCTTTAGCTGAAATGCATAATTCAGCATAATACGTGAGCTTATATTGATCACAGCTGAAGATATTAACACAAAGGAGTTTGAAAATTGTTTAGTTGAATTGTTCTCTGCACTCTGCTTATTAGTGGTGTGCTTAAAGAACATAATTTTTAAAGAGGGAAATGTTATCTCATTTGAATAAAATGCTGTTTGGTTTAACATGCTTTTTGTCAAAATCCTAACATAAAGGAGGTTATTTTTCATCTTGTACAGGGCGCTTTGATTTTGCATATTGTAATTCAGCAAGTCTATTTCCTCTTTGAACTACATCGTCTCCCAATAAACAGTTTAAGAAAGGAAAAATATAGTGGATAATTCTACATAAAATTCAACAGGGAAAAAGTTACTGGTATACCATAATATCTTTTCCCACTAAGTTATTTTCTTACTAATAATGCCATAGTGTTTTTTTAAATATCAGTGAACACATGAGGACATAGTTGTTGAAACAAAAATCAGTAAAAGAAGAAATAGTGGAACAAGTTTATTTATGCCTATCAGAATGCCATTCTTAGGGCCCTCGTCTGAAAAATTGAAACAATTAAGAAACTAGAGCTCGGAAATCATCATCCAGATGAGCACGGAGCAGTCCTGTCCTTCCCACACTGGCTCGCCCTCAGAGGCCCTGGAAGCTCCGCCAGCCACAGAAATAGCCTCCGCACCTTTCCCTTTCCGTCCTCCTGGCTGTATTTACCTCCTTTCTGCTACCTGCTCAGTCTAGATGTTGTTTTAGCCTCCTCAACCTAAAATAAAGCATTCCACATTCCTACCCTGCTCTCTAAACAAAAAGCAAGTCTGTCTCCTGAGAACTCATAGTTGTTATTCATCCTAATTTTTAGTTTAAAGCCAAGCATTTCACCTTCACCTTCACCTTCAGATTTTCCAAGTATTGTCCATGTTTTTAAATTTTTTTCATTTTGTTCACTAAATATTAGCAACTTATACTCTAGGACAGTGATGGCGAACCTATGACACGCGTGTCAGAGGTGACACACGAACTCATTTTTTTGGTTGATTTTTCTTTGTTAAATGGCATTCAAACATATAAAATAAATATCAAAAATATAAGTCTTTGTTTTACTATGGTTGCAAATATCAAAAAATTTCTATATGTGACCAGAGTTAAGTTAGGGTTTTTCAAAATGCCGACACGCCGAGCTCAAAGGTTCGCCACCACTGTTCTAAGATAACCTTTAACCTTTTATCAATAAGAAAAACTTAATATATTTGATATTAAAAGGCCTTTTCATACCCTGCCTAGAGTCACAGTTTGTGTGTGTGTATGTGTGTGTGTGTGTGTGTGTGTGTGTTATTTTTCAATTTCAAGGAAATATCTGAATTTTTTCCATTTCTTCTTAACTGTGTATTTTACCATTTTTACTTACATGCAGTATTTCTAGCTTGGGAACAGAAAGCATTATAAATGTCAGAAACATATTTCTGTATAAAATGCAGTCAGTGTGCAAATGTACTTATGTAAAGAATTCTTGGCAAATGTGTTGACTTGCCTTTTTTTTTAAGGAAAGGAAACAGAAACGTACAACTTGAATTGAGGACTTATGACAAACATAAATCTCGGAGAGCAGGACGGAATTAGTGGAGACACTTGGGATGACGTGGTTTAGGGTCAGTCCACAGGGAGCCCAGGAGGAAGATGCCTGACCCCCACAATGAGCGCGGCTGACGAGCGCACTTAAGAACATGAGACGAGAGAACACATTTGTTAGCGAGCTACTGTGCCTTTTTTTTTTTTATGTTTAATGCAGGGAGTGAAAAATTAGTCTATGGATTTACTGTCCTCAGTAGCTCTACCCTAAGCCCCTGTTTGTGGGTCATGGCCAATGACTGCCTAGGGGACCATAACGGACCTCCATCCCATAATGATGGCTCTGAGTCCATGTCCTCCTCGTTAACAGCATGAGCTCATAAAGAACACACACGAATTACGACTGACACTCCCCTGCCCTGGTTGGGATCCACTGCTCCTATCGTAACAGATTAGTTAAAAGTGTAGTTGATTAAAATGATGGCTTTAGTTATTACCAGAGAAATTATCTTGTTTGAATAAAAATACTTTGTTAAATTAGGAAAAGAAAATTCAAGGAACTCCAAAAACCAAAAGATAATTTTATTTTTATTTTTTTGGCATGCTTTTCAGGACCCTTACTAAGTAAGTAAAAATCGCAGATTTAGGAACATATTTTCTTAAGTATTTTAGATAGAATGTTCCTTTGAAGTCCCGGAGGCCACAATTTCCTTCTATTAATACTGCGAAGTTACGTCTTACGTTTTTGATAAGCAGTGAGTCATATGGCCGACATCTGAGAGTGTGCGTGCGTCCGGCTCCTGCTGCCTCGCTGGGTGCTAGCGCAATTTCCTCTCTGCCCAGAGCGTCGCTGGACGGAGCTTGCTGTGTCAGTGTAAAACGTGTTCTTCTGCCGTGTTCTCTCATATCTTTCCAATTGTGTCGACTTTCTTTTCAAGACCAAAATGAGAAACTCATTCAAGAGAACAGAGAGCTGCAGTTACGCTGTCTGGAAGAAAAGCAACAGCTCGATGACCTTAAAAACCGCATGAAGTTTTACAACCAGGTGAACCCTTTTCTTCTGTCGGATGTAAATCCAGATTCTTCTCTACATGCCTTAGGCGCAGAGAAAGCACTATTCTAGCGAGAAAAGGGATGCAAATATGTTACTTCATTGATCACGTCACGGTGTCAGGCAGCTCATGCTCCATCCGTGGGGCTGATCTGCGTAGTTGGAATGTCTCCTGTGCTTTCCATTCATAGCTCCCTGTGAGCTCTGACTCGCTCTGTCTTCTGCAGGAGAGTGATGTTAACGCTGAGGAGCTGAGTGAAGCCCTTCTGCTCATAAAGGTAACTTTCTGCACCTCCCCATGAGTTTCATGTCCTCGTGGAACTGTCCCGGCAGAGTGCAGGCCCGTCTATAACCCTCACACGTGGAGAGGGAATGATGCAGGACAGGGGTCAGGTGACATGTGGTGACGGCATATGCATAGTTCATAAGGACATCAAAATCACATTAAAATAGACCTCTACAGCACTTTGTCCAACGGTGACGATAAAACTAATCAACAATTTTCTCTCCTGAGAGACCTGGGTATACACTGTTTTTATTGTTGTTGTTAATCCTCACCCAGGATATTTTTCCGTGGATCTTTAGAGAGAGGGGAAGGGAGGGGGAGAGACATCGACGGGAGGGCGACACATCGATTGGTTGCCTCCCACACACCCCCGGCCAGGGCTGGGGATCGAGCCTGTAACCGAGGATCATGTGCCCTTGATCAGAATCGAACCCAGGATCCTTCAGTCCGCAGGCAGATGCTCTATCCACTGAGCTAAACTGGCTCGGGCTGACACTATTATTTTAAGTAAAATACTGAATCATAAGTGTTACCAGAAGATACTTTCCAGCTCTAGGATATTCTGTTGTTTACAGGAAAACATGAGAAAATGCATTTCTTTCCTTTGAGATCATCACAGTGTAGATTTTAATCAAATGAAGAAACAGAAATCGAAATAAATGTACATGATTTCTTTTTTATGTCATGAAGAAATAAACTGTTTTTCGAATTCTCTATAATTGTTCCAAATGTCTGTCCAAATATATTTCCTATGCCAGGACTACTTTATTCCTGGTGGAAAATGGAAATATGTCTGTTTTCAATTAATGATTTTTCCTTGCTATATCTATATTAAATCACATGATTACATTTTAGAAGCTCTTGTTTTCAGTAATAAAACATGTTTTTGTTTTAGGCTCAGAAATCACAAAGAAATGGAGAGCTTTCCTTTTTAGAGAAAGTAGACAATACCAGTCATAAAGATCTAGAACGTTCCATGAGGGAGCTGCAGGCAACTCATGCAGAGACAGTGCAAGAGCTTGAGAAGACCAGGAACATGCTAATCATGCAGCATAAAATCAATAAGGATTACCAGGTAATGGAACACGGCTTGGGAGAGGACGCGTCCTGTCATGTTCTACGCGCAGTTCACCTTCCTAAGCAGGATCACGTGGTACCTTGTTATAATCTGCGGCCATGTGTTCCCACATGCCTGGAAGTTCTCATAAATATAACTAAGTAATTAGAAGAAATTGTTTTAAGACAAGTAAAAAATTTTAAGTCCCTGATTTGATTTGATTTTTTTATAAATGTTTTTTTATTGATTGCAGACAGGAAGGTAGCGGGGAGAGAGATAGAAACATCAATGATGAGAGAGAATCATTGATCAGCTGCCTCCTGCACGCCCCCTACTGGGGATGGAGCCTGCAACCCGGACATGTGCCCTAATTGGGAATCAAACCGTGACCTCCTGGTTCATAGGTAGATGCTCAACCACTGAGCCACACGGGCCGGGCTAAGACCCTAATTTTAGAGCGCAAGTGGTGGCACTGCACTCGCCTGGACTAGAGTCACCACATTCTGCAAACAAGGTGATTCCCACAGCCCCTAATACACAGCCGCAGCCACGGAAAAACACCTCCGCCAAATGGGACCGGCTTTTGTTGACCTCACTTCTGGTTTTATGAACAACCCTCAGGGTGAATTGTGAAGCCATAAGCTATTTGAGGCCAGGAAACTGGGCTACAGTTCCTGGCATGTGCAGGATCTAGAAAACGCTTGAATCCTACTTGCTTTAAAAAATGAAGATGGAACTAATCACACATGTTAAAACGTGTTCTCTCTTATTTTTTAGATGGAAGTTGAGGCAGTGACCCAGAAGATGGAGAATTTGCAGCAAGATTACGAGCTCAAAGTGGAACAGTATGTCCACCTTCTGGACGTCAGGGCTGCGCGCATCCAGAAACTAGAAGGTAGTGGGCACACTTGCTCGCACAGGAATGGTTTATAATCGTTGAAATGTCCTCCTAAGCAACACTCACAGTTTCTTTCTACCTTTTTTTCAATTTATAACCACAATAATAATTCACCAGCAAGGCAGTTTTTATCTGATTCTTCTCTACTCGGGAATGTGTAGTCATTTCCCACTACTTTTTGAACTCAGTGTTGCTTGCAGGCGAGATTCAGAGTTCTGCATGCAGCAAAGGCAGTTTTTATCTGATTCTTCTCTACTCGGGAATTTGTAGTCATTTCCCACTACTTTTTGAACTCTGTTGCTTGCAGGCGAGATTCAGAGTTCTGCATGCAGCGTCTCAGACTAAATTTACCGCCTCATGTCTGAATTTTCTTCTAAGGAAGCTGTGCATCTCAGACAGACAAGCCTGCTTGCTCTTGGTCCGATTCCTCTTGCGCAGTCCCATCACCGTGCCACTCCATGCGCGCCTCCTTTCTCCTCTGACTGCAAGATGCACCCTTCCCTGCTTCAAAATCTAAGTGCAGGCCCAGCCCGGAGCTGCTCCCGCCACTCGCCATTCCTCCACTGGAAATGCCCTTGCGGTGGTTTTCAGACTTGACCAAGTGTGAGAACCACAGGGGAACTTGTTTCCTGTGCAGCTTCCTGGGCCCTCCCTCCGGACCGGGGACCCATGACACTGTATTTTAAAAATAACTCCAAGCAGCTGGCTGGTATCTCTCTGAAATCAATAAAAAATAGATTTAAAAAATGGTAATAACAACTCCAAGCAATTCAGATGCAGGTGCAAAACTATGCTTTGAAAAAAGACTACCTTGGCACTTACAGCTTTCACTCTCGTGCACTCAGAAACTGTGTCAGATGGTTCTAACTCTTTCTCCCTCTCTCCTCCTCTCTGAAATTAATAAAAAATAGATTTAAAAAAATGATAATAACAACTCCAAGCAATTCAGATGCAGGTGCAAGACTATGCTTTGAAAAAATACTACCTCGGCCCTTACAGCTTTCACTCTCGTGCACTCAGAAACTGTGTCTGGGGATTCTTTTATTTGGTTTCTTCACTGTTAGAGCACTACATAGTCTCTGTGACTTCTCTAATCAGAAGTACTTTATCTCTCATGTCCCATGATTACAATGCTTAATTCAATGGTTGATGCCAGCAATAATTTTACACTTAAAAACTACTGAGAATCCCCAAGGCCTTTTGTTTAATGGGTTACACTTATGATATTTATTATATTAGAAATTAAAAGTGAGAAATGTAAAAAATAGTTAAGTCATGTTAAAATAATAAACCATTACATGCTAACATAAATTACAGCACTATTTTAAAATCCTCACTCAAGGATATGTTTTTATGGATTTTAGAGAGTGAGGAAGGGAGGTGGGGAGAGAGAGGAACATCAATATGAGAGAGAAACCAATCAGTTTTCTCCCGTATGCATGTTTTTTTTTTAAAAAAAAGCAGTATTTTCTAAACCAAAAAGTAGTGAGAAGAGTGACATTGCTTTAATTTTTTAATTGTTGAACACTTTTGCAAATCTTTTTAGTGTCTGGCTTAATAGAAAACATATGTTATATCTGCTTCTGCATTGAATCTGTTATGATATCACATAGCATGTAGGTTCTGGAAAATTTCATTATACACTTGTGAGAGAATTAGAATGAAAAAAGCAAATAACATCTTCGTACTATTTCTGAAATACTTCTGGTCTCACAAACCTTCAAAACAGTTTCAGGGTTCCCAGACCCCACTTTGAGAACCACTGCTCTAAGTAGAAGGGCTCCATAAATATCTTTATCCAACTGGGCAGCGTTTTCCAGAAGTCACAGAGCAGTGTGTACTGTTTATCTCAAGCAGTGCTCGATAGAATTTGCTTAATGGCATTTTCACAAATAACAAGGCGGTCACAGAGTTTGAGATTTTGATCAGTAGATTTTATGTGTTCCCTGAATTCATTGATTCAGTCCATAAACATGGTCAGGCTTCATGCATCCTACGCAAAGTGCTAGGCAGTGCGAGTACAGCTAGGGAAACAGCTCCGGCGCCCCCCGCAGGAGCGCACAGGATGTGAACAAGTAAGCGGACAGGTTCTGGGCAGAGTGTGGCGCTGGGAGAAGGCAGAAGGTACCCAGAGCAGCTGAGGAAAGACTGCCCAGGGACCCCTGCAGATTCAGGGGAGACTCCGCACTCCAGGTCGGGAGCGGTTGCTGACAGAGCTCCCCGCTAAGTAAAAGCATGGGAGGTTCAGGGGGGAGGCGAGGCAGGTGGAAGGGAGTGTGGGAAGCATGCTGGTCACTCGGGAGACTGTGTGGAGCCACCGACTAGGAACCCCGAATCAGGAACCATGAGGGCCCTGGTGGGGACCTTACGCACCTGGAGAACCCTGGGGGGTTTTGAAGTCGGGGTAAGACACCAGACCTGCCCTGTGGGGATGGCTGTGGGGATGGGGGAGGGCGAGTCAGGTGTGAAGGAAGCCAGGGGTTCATGCTGACCTGGGCAGTAAGCACTGGGCTGTAATGAGGCAGCCTCGGTGGAGAGAGAGGATGGGCAGGTTCGATCAAGCCCTAGGAAGCAGCGGCGACCACGACCCCACCAGAAACGAGAACGTGCTGCCGTAGGCAACGTGGTGAGTGCTGACACCACCACCCGAGATGCAAGTGCAGAAATAACTGGGAGAGCATTTGAGACATTCAGTTCCATACACTGGGCTTGCTGTGCCTCGGGGATGTCTGGGTAGAGGGCTCTGGAGTTCAGGAAAGAAACCTGAATGAAAAAATAGAAACCGGAGCCTATTGATAGTAGCAGAAATCCCAGAAGCGGGGTGAGCTTACCCAGGGGAAGACCTAGACCAGCGGTTCTCAACCTGTGGGTCGTGACCCCTTTGGGGGGTCGAACGATCCTTTCACAGGGATCGCCTAAGACCATCGGAAAACACATATATAATTCCATATTGTTTTTGTGATTAATCACTATGCTTTCATTATGTTCAATTTGTAACAATGAAAATACATCCTGCATATCAGATATTTACATTACGATTCATAACAGTAGCAAAATTACAGTTATGAAGTAGCAACAAAAATAATTTTATGGTTGGGGGTCACCACAACATGAGGAACTGTATTAAAGGGTCGCGGCATTAGGAAGGTTGAGAACCACTGACCTAGACGAAGAGGAGGATAAAACAGAACCCCAGCAAGCTAGCAGAAAGGGAATCCCTAAAAGAGTGAGAAGAGAGGCAGGAAGAGAAGCAGGGCGATGCTGCTGTGGACGCCCTGGTGGGTGGAGCTCACAGAAGAGGGCGTGGCCGTCCCCGTCAATCACGCAAAGAAACCAAGTCATGCCTGACCACAGTCCACTCGCTCCGGCAGTGAGCTGGTTACCGGTGACTTTCCTCAAGTAGTTTCCCAAGAAAAGTGAGCAGCTGCTGCTTGCGGAGGGTGAGCAGTGTTAGAGGAGGAGGGGAGACACAGTGTAAATCACTCTTTCTAGACACGTGGATGTGACATGGGGAGGGGATGTGCATCTAGAAAAAAACGGTATCTCTTTTAGAGAAGTGTACTTGACATAACATTAAACCACATCACTTCAAGTAGACCATTTGGTGAGTTTTGGCCTGTGTATACACCTGTGAAACCATCACCGAAATTAAGATAACAAACATATTCATCCCCCCCTCAAATACAGAAGAAAAGTACAGACAGGATGGGGCAAAAGGAGGTTTATAGTTGTTTGAATGGAAAAATAATACAATAATTAATACATAATAATACAAGAATAAACTGTTTCGAGTGCTCACAGCTACAAACCTACCTTTGCCCCACCTGTATTTTATAGACTGAAGGGCAGGAGCCCGTGGGAGGAGAAGTTGGCTCCGTAGGAGGGAAGGTCCCAGAGCACAGGCCGGGGAGCAGGTGCACCCCAAGTGTTTCCCTCGGCTGTTCGTTCAGAGGCCTCGCCCTTCCTCCTCCCCATGGGAGAGCCTGTGTTACAGCTTAGGCTGTCATTTCATTGTTTAATAAACGATGTCAAAACAAGTGATGAATTTCTGCATAATATAATATTATTTACAGAAAAACAGGGTAGTCCTAGAATTTAAGATGGAGGCTGGTCCCCCCAAGCACTCAGACTTCCTACCACTTCAAAAGCCACTCTGTCTTCGTATGTCCGTGTTTGAAATCTCTAAACCATGTGTCTTCTCTTGCAGCCCAGTTAAAGGATATTGCCTATGGCACCAAGCAGTACAAATTTAAACCAGAGATCCTGCCAGATGACTCTGTGGATGAATTTGATGACACCATTCACTTAGAACGGGGCGAGAACCTATTTGAAATCCACATCCACAAAGTCGCCTTTTCTCCGGAAGTGTCGCAGGCGTCCGGGGACAAAGAGCCGCTCACCTTCTGTACCTACGCCTTCTACGACTTTGAGCTTCAGACAACGCCCATCGTGCGGGGCCTCCGCCCGGAGTATAACTTCACCTCTCAGTACCTCATCCACGTTAACGACTTATTTTTGCACTATATTCACAAGAACACGGTCACCCTTGAGGTCCACCAGGCGTACAGCACCGATTACGAAACCATCGCAGCATGTCAGTTGAGATTCCATGAAATTCTAGAAAAAAGCGGTCGGATATTTGGCACAGCAACCTTGGTTGGTAAGCACAGTATTATCTACTCCACCGGTTTTTGAGCACCCATCTTGCACCAGTCCCTCTGGTAGGAATGTATCCATGGAACCACAGCCCTTGCCCTCAGCAAACAGTGTGGCGGAGGAACAGGCTGGCGGACAGACAGCTCTGCCGCAGCGGTTGGTGCCCTGATGAGGACGTGTTCTCCTCCCAGGAGCCCTAGGGGAGACCTTTCCCAGGAAGAGAGCTGGAGAGCTGAACCAATACTGGGGTGTGCCCGCCCAGCAAAGCCATACAAGGGCCTGTTACACACGGTGCGTGCTCAGCACCGCATGGCTTTTCCCCTGTACCTGAGACCGGGCCGAGTGGGGAGGTGCCAAAGATTCCTTCAAGCTGCATTACAATGCAGAATTCATATTTATAATTTTGAGGTTTCATATTGTATCTTTCAGTCTGCATAGAGCACAACTTGTTCAAAAAGTACTACAGCATCAAAAGGTCTGTGGGGTGTTTGGTTCCATTTTTTTCTATTTCACGAGGAGTGGAATAATATAAATTGGAAGATCTCAAACATAGTTTGACAGTTCTTTAATAATATTTAACATACAGTGAAACTCATACGTGCAGAAGTAACTTTATTTTCTTCATCTCTGCTATTTGCCAATCACACATCATTTGTGCGTGTCACATACTATTTTACTCAGTATAAAATTTATAGTTGCAATGTATAGTACCATTGATGTATTTTTTACTGGTATATATTTTGATTTATGGGGCTGTTTTAACAGCGAGTTTATATATTGATCTGTAGGAACTAAAGAAGACGTCCCAAACTTCGGCACCGTGGAATACTGGTTCCAATTAAGAGTTCCCGTGGACCAAGCGATTCGCCTTTATCGAGAGCGGGCGAAGGCTTTGGGATATATGACATCAAATTTTAAGGGGCCAGCGCAAAGGCCGTGGGTAAGCTTGTTTGACTTTAGGACACTTTTATGACACAGAAATTGTATCATATTCTTTCTATGTCATGCTTTAAACTGAAATTATTTTCTTTCACAGCCATCAAGTGGCTTTTTCTAACTTTTTATTTTGAAATAATCATAGACTTGCAGGAAGCAGCAAAAAATAGAACAGAGAAGTCCTGTGTACCCTTCACACAGCTGGTCCCAGTTGTAAGATCCCACAGAGCTACAGGACAATATCAAAACCAGGAAGTGGACATTGTGCAACACTATTAACTAGGCTACAGACCTCATTCAGATTTTACCCGTTTTTACATGTGGGGGGGAGGAGGAGTTCTGTGCAGTTTATCGTGTATATGTTCATGTAACTACCACCACAAGCAAGACACAGTCCTTCCATCACCTCACAGGAGCCCATCCCTGTGCTGCCCAGGGCACTGGAGAAACAGAACAGCCTTCCGGTCATCACACATCGAGTGACTGTCCTTACACTCCCCACTGTGAAGGAAATACATGCCTATTATTGGGCTACAAAATGAGTATGCTCGCTGAGAACTGGACGTTTAAATGCAGTCCCTTGGGTTCAAACTGTGTTTCATGGAGTCTTAATGGCCATATTTCCAAAAGAAAGAATGTCACGATCCAATGAATGCAGAAAGGGCTGAATTGAGCAAAGTTAAATAGAATGTTTGACTTTAAGACGTCTCGTGTGTAACGTGAGCCTCAAGAGGAAGCATAAAGTATGAGTTATGTGGAGTTACAAGGGATAGAATGTCATAGAAACACTGTAGAATGTCTGCTCAGGTCTTAACTATCTTTCTTCATTTGGAACTGCCCTCACTCTAGGTCCGTAGGCTGGGCTCCCAGTGTCAAGCTTTATGTTTGGTGATCCTGTTCTCCCTACTCACCATCCAATTATAACTAACTAGAGGCCCACTGCACAAAATTTGTGCACAGGGGGTCCCCTCAGCCCAACCTGCACCCTCTCCAATTATGGACCCCTCAGGGGACGTCCCTCTCACAATCTGGGACCGCTGGCTCCTAACTGCTCACCTGCCTGCCTGCCTGATCACCCCTAACTGCCCCCCTTGCCAGCCTGGTCTTCCCCAACAACCCCCCTGCCGGCCTGGTCCCCCCAACTGCCCCTGCTGGCCTGGCCGCCCACACAGCCTACTGTTTGGTCATTACTGTTACTGTGACAGCGTCCCAGACAATTTGCATATTCCTCTATTATTAGTATAGATGATTTAGAAATATCCACCTGACTCCGGTTCATCCAGTCAGATTCTGCTTCCTGAGATCAAGAGAAAGCAAGACTCGCCATGCCTGGAACATGCAAAATTAGGAGCTTCTACCATGTGAGCCAGCAAAGGAAAGAAAAAGGTCTGGAGAGGAATGAGCAAGCACACCGAGAAATGGAAACTGGACGGAGAGTCCATTCCGGTGGCTTCCGTCCTGTTTCCTTCCTAAGGCCCAGCCGCCTTCCTGCTACAACAGTGGTCCATGAAATAGCCCTTTAGCCTTATGGGAAAGTCTTTTATAATTGTCATATTTGCTAGTTGGAATTAGCTCCTGTAACTTTCAATTAAAGAACCATTACTAATATAACACTGCTTCCCAAACTTAAGAAAGAATGGCACCCCTTCCCAGAGATCATCTTTCTGGACACACTTGGGAAGAGCTGTTGTGGAAAAGGGAACTAGAAATGGAAAACCAGATTGCTTATGTAGTTTTATAGTTTAAAGGTTTTTAGACTCCCCGTTGCTGGCTTGGATGTGTCATTTACAATTGGAATTTGGCTTTTGTGGGTGGACTTGGGAAAGATGTGGAGGGGAGCTTTGTCAATCGTTCCACTCGGCCTTGTATAGCTGAATGCAAACTCAGGGAAAGCAGCATTGCGAGTCCCTTCTCGGTTCTCCTCTCCACACCGCCAGGCATCTCCACGGAGGCAATGGGGACCGGTTCTGTTCTCTTCTCCAGTCAGTTCTCTAGTCAGGGTCCCAGAAGCTCAGTAGAGATTCCCCAACACGAGCCTGAGCAGGCACGGAAACAACGCTAGCATTTCTTTGTCCCAGTTCACAGCAGCTGTGCTGGGTTAGCAGTCAGTGCAGTTGTTTGCTAACACGCCTGGGCACTGGCTGCCTGAGCCAAAGGGGCCGGAGAGCAGTTTCTAGCTCTGCCTCGTAAGTCCTTTTGCTCATTTGTCTTCTGGAATGGCCCCCCAATCCTAGCTTTTCATTCTCTCCAAAGCATATCTCTGATCCTGCTCTCTAGTTCTTAATAGCAGTTATACTTTGATATACTGGCTAATTTTGACCTCAGGTATCTGCTTCCCAAACCCCATTGGTTCAGGATGAGGGCCAACCCAAATACAACAAAGTTATCTTTCTTGGTGGGGCCCATCAAGTTCATTGGATTCTCACTTAAGACTGGGATATAAACAAATGGCTGGCATGATTGGAGGATTAGCTCTTAATAAAATTGTGAAATAGAGAACATTGGTCTTTGGACCCATCCCCTCACTTGACTCAGTTATCAAATAGAATTAAAGAACATCAGATTAACTTTTTCTTGATTTTAACAGCAATCTCTACAGGTATGTTCAGTCTTCTATGTTAGTTGCTAATAGCATAGGATCATCTGTTCATCCATATTCCAGTGAATATTGGTTTTGAATAAGAATCGGGAATCTTTTACTGAGAAATTCAATATGAAGTGAAAATATGCAGGCTTTTGTCCATTTACAGAATCATTTGGTTTGGGGGTTGGCAGCTGCTGTGTATCAGTTTATTGTATATTTACTGTAATGTAAATATGTATGTTTTTCCAGCTAAGTCAACAAGCACCCAAAACGGCTCAGCTCACTTCTACTGATGGCGCAGACGGCAACTTAAATGAACTTCATATTACAGTGAGATGTTGCAACCAGCTGCAGGCCCGAGCAAGCCACCTTCAGCCACACCCATATGTTGTGTACAAGTTTTTTGATTTTGCAGACCATGACACGGCCATCATTCCCAGTAGCAATGATCCACAGTTTGATGATCATATGTGTTTCCCAGTGCCGATGAGTGTGGACTTGGATCGATACCTTAAGTCAGAGTCTCTGGGCTTTTATGTGTTTGATGATAGTGATACCCAGGAGGATATGTACATAGGAAAAGTCAGTGTGCCCCTGATTTCATTGGCACATGACAGGTGCATCTCAGGTAAGCCCATTTCTTCATCTGTGAAACTGTAAAAACAAACCTAAATTATCCTTTAGTGTTTTGGATATGTTGTTTTGTGTAATTAATCTTCCTAACCATCTCAAATCATCTTTGGGCCTATAACATTATATTGTTTGAGTGATTTTTTAGTAGTTGTTCCAAGAATTACAATATTTATTTTAGCTTATCACAATCTACTAAAAATTAATACTAACAATTCCATTAAAATATAGAAGGTCTGCTCCAATATAATTTTATTCCCTCCCCCCTTCTGTGTTGTGGTTGTCATACTTATGTATATAGTATGCCTATATCTGTTAAAAAAAAACAATAATATAATGTTACTAGAGGCCCAGTACACGAAATTTGTGCACTGGCAGGGGCCCTAGCAGCTGCTGGCCACCGGCCAGGGCCTCCTGCCCTTCCCCCGGCCAGCCCCGCCTCCTGGTCAAACTCCTGGACGACCTCCTGGTTGAGGGGACAATTTGCATACTACGCTTTTATTATATAGGATAATTACTGCTTTACATAACCTTATATTGTTTAAAGAAATTGAGAGAAGAGAGAATATACATAATTATAGGAGACTTTTTTATATTAAGCTATGTTTTTTACCATTTCTTATATTCTCTATTTCTTCCTCAACTGTCTGGTGTCACCTCCTTTCTCCAGTATACCTTCATTTCTCCCAGTCCTTCGAGCTGTTATTTTTACTTTTTGTCTTTTTACAAGTCCAACAATATAATTTTACAATTATTGTTTTATGCAGTTGTCTTTTAAATCAGTTAAGAGAAGAAATTAGGAAAAAATATATCTATACTTTTATAATTACCTTGATTGGTCTATTCCTCTGTGTTGATTTGAGTTGCTATTTGGTCTCACTTCCTTTCAGCCTAAAGAACTTCTTTTAATATGCCTTGTAAGTCAGGTCTGCTGGAAACGAATTCTCTCAATCATTGATATGTGGAAATGTCTTTATTTTACTTTTGCTTTTTGAAGGAAAGTCTTGCTGGATACATTATTCTTGGTCATCAGTTATTTTTTTTCTTAAAGCACTTTGAGTACATCAGATAACTGACTTCTGCTGAGAAGTCAGCTATTGATGTTATTATGGCTCCCTGGTACTGGATGCTGTTGTGAAGATTCTCTCTCTCCTTTTTTTTTTTGGGGGCTTTCAGCATTTCAACTACAATGTCTCCAGGTATTGATCCCTTTGTGCTTACCCTGCGTGGAATTTGTTGAGCTTCTTTATGTGTAGGGTATTGTTATGTACCTAATTTGGGGAGTTTTTTGTCATGACTTCTTGAATTATTTTTTGCCCTTTTTTTCTTCTTCTTGGACTCCCATTACATATATGTTCATATGTTTAATGGTGTCCCACAGGTCTCTGAGACTCTGTTCATTTCTCTTCATTTTTCCCCTTCAAATTGGGTAATCTCTGCTGGTCAACCTTCAGGTTCACTGATTCTTTCTTCTGCCAATTCAAATCTCCTATTGAGCCCATCTACTGAATTTTTTTTCATTTCAGTAATTGTACTCTTCAACTTCAGCATTTCTACTTAGTTCTCTTTTTAAAAATAACGTCTATATCTTTTATTATATTCTCTATTTTATAGATCATTGTAACCACACTTTCCTTTAATTCTTTAAATATGGTTTCTTTCAGTTCTTGGAACATAGTTATAATAGCTGCTCTGAGGTCTCTGTCTGCTAAGTCTAACATCTGGACACCCTCAGAAAGCCTCTACTGTTGGCTTTCTGCGCCCCCCCCCGCCCCCACCCCGTGTTAACATCACACCCTCCAGTTTCTTTGTGTGTCTCTCTTTTTTCCCCATCCCTAAAACTGGACATCGAGGATACTATTGTAGCAACTCTGGATTCCAGTTTTCCCACTCCCTGGGGTGATTGCCGTTGCTGATTTTGTTTGTTTGGCCAGCCTGTTCTGACTCTTCCTGTTCTTACTGAGGTTCAATAGATTTCCTTGAATAAGTGCTTCTCAATTTGTTGTATACCTTTGATCAATTCCGAGAGGCCTTAAATGGTTGTTTTTGATCCTTTTGTCCAGTTTTATTACTGATTTTTATGGAAAAAATTTATTTACTGAGCTCTTCACTCAGCCATTCTAGAAGTCTCACCTGTACCTACAATAGAAGTTTATCACCTCCCTATGTCCTACCTGTATCCTTCTGTTCTATCTAAACTCTAGAGTTGTTTTGTTTTTTCCTTCTCAGCCAGCCATTAAAAGACATGTCATACACTTGCGGACAAAGTAAAGGATACCTCTAAACAAAAGTTATGCTTGAAATATAGGTTTATTTTCTTCAAGTCAGGGATTTTTCCTACTGAACAATTTAGTATAATGATTAAAATTTATCAATATTACAGATATAGGTAATTACTGCTATATGTTTTGGATGGTTTATCTTATGGACTTTTTCTTTTTTGCTGTGGTACTATTAACTTGGAGTAATTTAACAAATCCCAATAAAATATTTAAAATTATAATAAAACTACATAGTAATATAAAGATTTCTTTAGATGTATCAATTATTTGGAATTTTGAAGTTTTAATATATTTTTCTATAGAGACAAGTCTTTTGCAGGAATATTCAAATCAAAATGAAGGTTCACACGTGAGCTATAACCCAGATAATGTCTTGGAGGAATGCTAAGAATTTTGAATAATTTCTGAATTTCATTTCAGTGGATTAAAATATTTATAAGTTAATTTTCTCAACTTTGAATCAGTATTTCTTTGAGGCCTTAACTTCTGAATGCAGTCTACTCGAGAAGTGAACCTATCACATGTCCTTTTGTCTTTATTTTATTCTCTAAGTAATTTGGGTTGTGAGTAAAAGCCAAAATTATTTTTTTTAAGTTGTGGGTAGTTCACTTTAATTATTCTGGTAGTAAAACTTTACTTTAGCATTAGTTAAAATTATTTATTTTGTGATTTGACAGGAATATTTGAGCTAACAGATCATAAAAAGCATCCTGCAGGAACCATTCATGTCATATTGAAATGGAAATTTGCCTACCTCCCACCAAGTGAATGCATAACATCCGAAGACCTAGGAACTGTCATACACAAAGAAGAGTCCGAAGCTGTTCAAAGACTACCTCCAGCCTCCTCTGTGAGCACCTTGTCTGTAGTGAGTAACAGTGACTTTGAATTTCTTACAAAACTTAATAGACACAGAAGCAGAACAAACAGCTGAAGCCTTATCTAAGGTGGATGTTCCTCATACTCAGTTTGCCATACTGTTCAATCTTAGGCACCAACACCCAAACCAAGACAGCGTTTCACAGCTGTAGGGAAGAAGGTGTCTTTCGTGGCCGATATCACATCACATCAGAATTCTGTAAGTAGCAAACACTGAGCATGGGAAATAAACGCTATTGATGTAGTATACCCTACCTGATTTAAAGGAAAATTGGGTGAATAAAATGCCTCTTTTTTCCTTTAAAATGTTAGGTTTGTAACTTGGCATTGTGTGTAAGTATTAACTCTTCTTACTCTTTGATCTGAATCATGATACATCCACTCAATGTAATATTATGTTGTCACTGAGTTTGCTTTTTCTTTAAAAAAAATGGTTGATGTGGCCCATCTGGTGTGGCTCAGTGGTTGAGCATCAACCTATGAACCAGGAGGTCACGGTTAAATTCCCGGTCAGGGCACTTGCCCGGGTTGCAGGCTCGATCCCCGATGAGGGGCATGCAGGAGGCAGCCAATCCATGATTCTCTCTCATCATTGAGGTTTCTATCTCTCTCCCTCTCCCTTCCACTCTGAAATCAATAAAAACAGTTTTTTAAATGGTGATAACTATTGCATAGTTGTGAGGTTGAATTAAGGTAATACATTGGAGAATACTTTATGTACTGATTACCATAGTTCAGTATCCTATCTGTAAAAGAGGCACTACCTAGATTATTATAGTATGTATCAGGGCAAAAACCAGTCAGCAAATAATTACAACTCCTGTGGCTCTGGATATTATATATTTTAAAGGATTATTTCTACTCTATATTCCATTGGCTTAATTCAGTTTATTTTTCTTCCTCCTGCTTAAAAAAAAATGATGCTTACCCAAAGTTTCATATTTGGAGAAAATTTTATGTTACAATGTTAATTTTTTTAATGTAGCAGGATATGTTATATTTACAATATAATTATCACTATATAACCAAAACTTTTATTTGCATTAAAAATCAATTATAAAGAAATAGAAATCTAACTGGTTATCCTATATAATAAAAGCCTAATATGCTAAGTGTCTGATCGGCCGTTCAACCAACCAAAGCATAATATGCTAATGATATGGTAAGGCCACTCAACTGCTTGCTATGATGTGCACTGACCACCAGGGGGCAGACAGTCGGCCAGTTGCTATGACATGCACTGACGACCAGGGGGAAGACGCTCTGACCTGTAGGTGAGCTTGATGCTGGTGTCTGGCTGATTGGGACTGAGTGAGATGGGCCAGACATGCCCTGGAGCCCTCCCGTGGTCCCTCCCCAGCTGGCCAACCTCCTGTGTCCCTTCCTGGCCCCAATCATACACCAGTGGGGTCCCTCGGCCTGGCCTGCGCCCTCTCGCAATCCGGGACCCCTCAGGGGATGTCAGAGAGCCGGTTTTGGCCTGATCCTGCAGGCCAGGCCGAGGGACCCCACTGGTGCATGAATTCGTTCACCAGGCCTCTAGTTAATAGATATTATCATTGAATAATGGGAATGTGGATTTATATTAATTTCTTTTATGTCTTCTTGTTTAACTTTCACAATTTCTATATTGGGCATGTTTCCCTTTAAAATAGCCAAAATGATAGCCCTGGCAGGGTAGCTCAGTTGCTTAGAGCATCATCCCCATACCGCAAGGTTGTGGGTTTGATCCCCAGTCAAAGCACATACAAGATCAACCAAGGAATGCATACATAAGTGGAACAACTGGTTGATATTCTCTCTCTCTCTCTCTCTCTTTCTCTTTCTCTTAAATCAATAAAAAAATTTTGTTAATTATAAACTATATTTTAACAATAGACATCAGTTTATGAACCATGGAAAAATGGTTGACTATAAATTGATAGAAAGTACATACCTAATCCAGCATGTACAACTTTTAATTACATGAGTAATGTATAATTATCTTAGAAATGTTAGAAAATAAAAATATAACAAAATAAAAACAGCACTATACAATTTTCCCAAATCTGCATATCAGAGATAGAATTTTAATGAAGTTTCCTTCATACTTTTTTCCATGGAAATATATGCACACATTTGTTTGTTTGCAAATTTATTGTTTAACAAAACAGTGTACACGTATATATATTGTAGTTAACTACCTTTTTCACTCAACACTATGTTGTGCACTCTCTTTAGTGTCAGTAAGTACAGGTCTAGATGAGTAGGTCTTTCATGGTCACATAAAACTGGCGTTTGGATGTACCACATGTGATGTAATTAATGCCCTATTGAACATTCGCATTGTTTTCACTTTTTTGAGATTATAATCAATGCTTCGATGAAATACACTTGTAGTCCTTTTTTTTTTAATGTTTTTATTGATTTCAGAGAGGAAGGGAGAGGGAGAGAGAGAGAGAAACATCCATGATGAGAGAGAATCATTGATAGGCTGCCTCTTGCATGCCCCCTCTCGGGGATCCAGCTCGCAATCCAGGCCTGTGCCTTGACCAGGAATCAAACCATGACCTTCTGGTTCATGGACTGACACTCAACCACTGAGCCACACCAGCGGCTAGTTCTTAAATTGTATATACGTATATATACCATGAAGAATATCAGTCATGTTACTGAAATGCACTATTTCATTGCCCTAATGGGAGCTACTATATGCGCTCCTCATTTTATTAGTGTTCTTATATATATATATAACACATGTACATTTGTATGTAAAAGTCTTGCTCCTCATTTTATTAGTGTTCTTATATATATAACACATGTACATTTGTATGTAAAAGTCTTAGGGTGATCTGGGATTTAGTAATAATCCTAAATAACACAGTCATGTGTTCACATGAACGTAGGAGACAGAGACATCCCCTCCTCCCGAGGACAGGAGGGACCTTTCACCAGAAATGGAGGTCACACCAGAAACGGATGTTGGTACGCCGACGGCTTCGCATGTTTTCCAGGTATGTCTTTGTATTAAAATTATTTCAAAAGGCTGAATTTGGTTCTTAAAGACTTTGTCTTTGTAGTGACATGGATCAGGAAATTATAGCATTGATCTTATCTTTATATATTCTTCCTTGGAAAGCAAAGATAAAGAAACATGACAAGTGTAATGGCTACCATTATACTCTTAGCATAATGTGAAATAGACATGTGAAGTAATGTAAAAATTTATTTTGAAATTGATATATTTTTCATTCTTAGTTTATAATTAGATTTTCATTTATCCGTATATTTTTATTTGAACAACTTAAGCAATTATTTTCAAATGCATCATATATATAGCATGTCTGTATATTTAAGTCTCAAGTTATTATTCAAGTGCTTCAGCAGAAATGCTGCAACTATGATCTAATCAGTGATAAAAATATCAGCGTGCTCTCCTTTCTCCAGGTGCCTCAAGAAAGCCGCGTCGGTCAGGGGAGAGAGCACACTGGGAACGCGCAGCCAGAGAACGGGGGGGACGTGTCCCTGCTGTCCCAGGGCCAGATCGCACAGCCAAGTACGACTTCTTCCGAAGACGAAACAGAAATCACCGAGGAACTGGAGCCGGAAGGTGACTGGTTTTTGAATTAACAGTATTTGTTGAACTCTTAGCTTGAGTTAACAGTGTGCCTCGTAGACTTCTTCACTGCACAGTGGAGCTCCTTCATGACACCTGTTTCTCGACAGAAGCGATGGCTGTGGGTCAGTCTCATCAGCCGTGCCAGGTGTCATGGCATCTCTCTCACTTGCACTGGGGGCCCCGGCAGATGCAAGTGTCATTGCTGGCCATGCCCCAAATTTGCATATTTGGTGGCTTTAGATTCTCTTTGGGTTCCGGGCTGTCATCTGGGTCATTCTGGAGGACTTGACTTTTTTAAAAATTAAAAGTAGGAACTCAGACCAAAAAGAAAGACAGCTTACAATGTGATTTAACTTCTATAAATATGTCGAAAAGGCAAATTAATCTATAGTGGCAGAAATGTTCAAGCTGTTGCCTGGGGAAGGGCCAGTGGGAAGAGATGAGGAAGGGCAGAGATTGCAGAAAGGCATGAGGGAACTTTTGGGGGGATGGCTATGTGTGTAATCTTCATTGTGGTGATGCTTTCACGGAATTATATCTGTAAAAATATCAGACTTTGCACTTTAAATGGGTGTGGTTTATTAAATGTCAATTTTACCATAATAAAGCTGTAAAACATTTTTAAATGTTTTTAAGTAGTAAGAATAACTTGATTCTTACACAATATTATGGGTTGGAAAACATCTATTACCCTGTCCTCTTTAAAAAATTATTTTTTAAGTTCATATTAGAACAAGCTATATTTTTATTTCCTTTGTTTCTACTAAAACTAAACATGGAATTTTTCAATCATTTTTTCCTTTTTCTAAAATGTAATGTAAATATCTTTGCTGCTAAAAGAGGTTCAGATATGATTATCATATTGTTCTTTTAAGGTTGTCCTTATAATGTGTGCTCAGTTCTCTCCATTTCAAAGGTATAAAGGTAGCTGGTTTAACAGATTTAAACCGCTGAAATTTTATTTTGTAACAGACGAGGAAGACAGATCAGCTTCTGACAGTGATGAGTGTATCATTCCAGAACCTGTCTCCAAGAATATCCCGCAGGTCAGTAACTGATGCCAATTAGAAATGTGCCGGAATGAAGTTCTTTTCCTCCATAGTATTTCAGTCTTCCTATGCGAACACCTTGAGGCAAAAACACTGCATCATCATAATCTTATTCGAGGCTCATCTCATATTAAGAAAACTTCGCTTACAGTTTCATTATGTAATGCTATAGCATCCAAGCATTATTTTTGCTTCCATGTTAAGAGCACCAAAATCCAGTAGCTTCAAAAGGTACTTCGTAAAAACAGTTGACTTTCCTGTCTTCTTTTCAGAACCATTGTACAAGGATGCATTAAATCAAACCTGAACTTGAAAGAATTCGAAATGTGAGATGGCTTTTAAAACTAAAATCATGTGTAAATGCGAATGTATAGACTCTTCATATCTAAGAATGTCTATTGATAAACTGTTAAAGTTATTTCATTTCTGCTAAGAAGTAGTATGTAAACTGTTTTTTCTTATTATTTCTGGTAAAGTAACTTGTATTACTTTGCTACAGCTTCCCACAGCTTCACTACCATCCTAAAATGTGGTTTCACATCATGGTTTTATATCTCAAACGTGTGGGCATCACTTAAAGCCAGCATCTGCTCTACGCAGTGATTTATGCTCAGAAGCCATTAATCAGCTCCCATGTGCATTTAAAAATTCCACCTTTAGTAGAAGGTCCTGACCAGTATCTTACGTTAATAGGTGAATTTTAGTATTTTTCAAGTTCATATCAAATATAATAAAATAAGATACTCTACATACAGAGGAATGGAACTCAAGAGGTCATCATAATGGAGAAATGTAGCATTTTCTAGTGATTATACCAAGGTTTCTGTGTGCTGCTTTAGCAAATCATTTAATATGAGTCATGGAACTTTTTCTTTAAAGATTGCCAAAGTGGTACAGAGAAGTCCTGCTATACACGTCACTCAGTATCACCGATTACATGTATACATATGTATGTATGTATGTATTTATATACACATTCTTACATCCATGTACATAGATGCAATAGGTGCAGGAATCATTCCTCTTGGCCCCTAAGTACTTCAGAGCAGTAACGTAATACTGTTAATTTAGTATTTTTCAAGTTCATATACACTTCACTCAGTATCACCGATTACATGTATACATATGTACGTATGTATTTATATGCACACATTCTTACATACTAGTACATAGATGCAATAGGTGCAGGAATCATTCCTCTTTGCCCCTAAGTACTTCAGAGCAGTAACGTAATACTGTTACCAACCTGCATTTCTCCTTGAATGGTTGCGGCTGTCCCAGTGGCGTCGCTCACGGCGTGTCCTGGCCTGGTCAGGAGCCAGTCCCGACCACACAGCACAGTGAGCCTCCTGCCCCGTTCGCTCCCTCAGTCCATCACGGTTCCTCAGCCGCTATGGTCTTCCGTGCTGGTCTTTCCCAGCACCAACATGGCTAAGGGCACAGGCCGTTCATGTCGTAGAGCATCCCTCAGTCTGGGTGTGGGTGGCGTTTCCCCCGGTCGGTGCAGGTTGTGCTGTGGTAGGAACGCGTCGGAAGCCATGCTGCGTCCTCTCAGGGCAGCGTGTCCGCAGGCACAGGCTGGGTGTGGTTTGATTCTTGAGGCTGTCAGCTTTGGCTGAGGTATTGGGTCATAAAACCTTCTTCAGCTGAACAGTATTTGTGGCTCAACCGCTTCTGAAGTCTCCTCTTTAAGAACTGCGTCCGGCAGAAATCGCAGGACAGCAGAGGATCTCTCCTCGGAAGGAAGGTGTCCCGAATGGCTACCGGGGCTAAGCACATCCTGTGCAGTCTGTCCTTTCATTCTCACGATTCTTCACTCGCCAGCATCTCCTGTGTCATAAAAGAAGCCATCTCTGGCCCCAAAGAATTCACAGTCTGCCGGGAAGCACAGTGGCAAGCGCTTGGTGGCAGCAGTAGGAGCGTGGATGCAGGTGCTGGGGGAGCACTCAGGGGCCTAACTCAGCACGGGGACCCTCATCAGGGTGACTTCCTCGAGGCCGGGAAGCTGGGCCCAAGTGTGGACAGTGATTAGCAGTTGGTGAAAGCCAAGGAGGGTCATTGGAGGCTGAAGGAACAGAAGCAGGAGATTTGAGAGAGCGCGGAGCATGGCTCCTGGGAAGTCAGTGTGGTCTCAGGAGGGGCTGGGCCCGCGCTCACGTGGGGCGCCCTGGAGTGTACCCACAGGCAGTCCCGAGCAGAGCACGGGGCCTCTCTGGGGTGAGGCCTGCTCTGGGATTCCTAAGGGAGGAGGAGGATCCCTCGTTGACTAAATGACATCTAATGAGCATTTACTCGGTGCCAAGCCTTGCTCTCCAGACCAGGAATAACGCGGTGAATAAGAGAAGTCCGTTTTTTGACCTTGTGGAGTTTACACTCCTGAATTGCATTTAAAAAGATCCGGCTATCAGTAATGTAAAGAATAGACTAGAGGCACAAGACTAGTTAGGAGTAATTAGATAGCCCTGCTCTGTGGTTAACCCCACTTTATAGATTTTTTTAATTGCCTGTACCCTAATAATATCACAACATTGAGACTAGAGGTAGTGTTCTAGATAAATGTCATCCATGCCAATTCAACTGTGAACTGGAATTACTTCCTACCCTGTGTAAGCAATTTAAGATCATTCAGGGTGTTTTTTTCATGTTATAGAATCTGACCGCCCATAGTTATTTCTTAGAAATGTTGATCCTTAAAAGGAATCTAACAGATTTCCCAGGACTTGGACACATGACTTGCTTCTTCCTCTCTCTTCGTGTCTGTGATGTATAATTAATCATAGATTACTTCATTTTGTTTCATTTCATTTACAACATTTATGAGCTTCACTTTGTCAGAATGAAACGCCTGTCCCCTCCCTTCCTTTCCAACGGGGCGTAATGAGTGGGAGCATCTTTATCAGCAGCTGCGGAGTCTAGTGCTGGATTAAATCACGTCATTAGCATAATGTGCCACCCAGTTTGCCCCATCTCTTCATTTCCAGGACATCAAAGTGGCACAGATACCAGTGTAATTGGGTCGTGCTGGCCTGTCAGGTCCCGTCAGCCTCACGGCCGCCGCTGCTGCTAAAAGGCTTCGAGGCATGATCCTTAATTGGGGGCTGGCAGGGTGTCTGAGAAATGTGAAACTTTGGACATTTCTCCATCAATATTTTATTAATTTGAATAACCAGAAGTTAACAGGATCAATTTGATGTATAATACATTGATTAAAAGCCTTGCTTTAGATCCTCACAATAGCTATCAAAACTGAAACTGTGCATCTGTCATGGCATTTGAGAAAAAATGAACGCTCCTTCTTTCACACGACTTCCGGTTTTACATGTAAGCCAGGCAGCTTCCCATTCTCCCAGCTAAAGGTGCTGCCATCGGCTCACAGGCTCGTACAGGGAGCCCACAGGTGAGGGCGGGCAATCGCGGCTGAAGCCAGCGGGCTCTTCTGTGCCGTGTGTTTACAGATTGTTCTCTCTCCACTTCTACTAGAGCGGTTTTGTAAAAGGTGCCGCATGCAGTTGGGCTAAGTTGCAATCGCCCCCCATCCCTGGACAGCAGGTTCTCCCTCAGCAGCAAGGCTGGTCAGCAAAGTGTGCTCTAAAGCTTTGAAAGGCAGGATGCACACCGTCACTCACTTGGAGAATTCATGTATTAAAAACGACTCAGTCTCTTCAGAATCAATTGTGACATCCCATCGGTGGGTAGAATAAGCCCTTTCCCATGTGTGACATGTCCTAAGCTAGATAGAGGAGGTTTCAGTAAATGAAGTGTCCGGTTACCTTCCTGATGGTAATCACTTTCAGAACTATTTTTTATTGCCGGGCTGGTGTGTCTCAGCGGTTGAGCATCGACCTGTGAACCAGGAGGTGGAGGTTCAATTCCCGGTCAGGGCACATGCCCGGGTTGCAGGCTCAAACCCCAGTGGGGGGCGTGCAGGAGGCAGCCAGTCCATGATTCTCTCTCATCAGTGATGCTTCTCTCTCTCCCTTCCTCTCTGAAATCAATAAAAATTAAAAATGTATTTTTAAAAGATTTGTTTTGCAACTTTGCTATCTTTTACTAATGAACCATGGACTTCTCTCCGTAGTAATATACTCTAATCCTTTAACACATGCATAATACTCCATTGCATAGCTCTACCAGTTATTTAAATGAGCCCCGTTTGATGGACCCTTAGGTTTCTATCCGTTTTTGCAAATACAGACATTTCTGGTTAAAATGTTGTTTATAGGTAACATTTGACAGATATCACCTGAGAATTTGTGGGAGCTGTCGCTTCTTGGTCTCCCCGGCCCCCTGACCTAATGAACGAGAGACCGTGAGCCGGGGGCCAGCAGTCTGTGTTCCCTCCCCTGTCAGGCCATTGTGGGTGACAGTGAGGTCTGGGAAGCACTCCTCGAGGGAGCAGCGGTGCTGCCCACGGTGGCTGCACACTACAATGACCAAGGGAGCATTTTATGTTAGTTCCTTAAATATGTTTTCATTGATTTCAGAGAGGAAGGGAGAAGGGGAGAGAGAGAGAAACATCAGTGATGAGAGAGAATCATCGATTGGCTGCCTCCTGCACGCCCCACACTGGGGATCGAGCCTGCAACCCAGGCATGTGCCCTGACCGGGAATCAAACCCAGGACCTCCTGGTTCATAGGTCGATGCTGAACCACTGAGCCACGCCGGCCAGGCTAGGGAGCATCTCTAAATGCCAGGGCCCCATCTCCACTAGATCAGTTGAGTCAGAATTTTGCTTAAAGCTCCCCAAGTGGCACTATGTGCAGCCAAAGCCGGTCACCGTGGCACCTTCCTCAGTGACCAGGAGTAGGCAGCACAGCACTCATCTGAAATGGGGGCAGGATGTAAATGCCCCTTCCTGCACGTGGCGCTGCCGCAGGAGCCGTCAGTGAGGGGCGCGTGTCGTAACCCTCAGGTGCGTGAGGACAGAGCACACATCCCAGCCATTGCGTTAGGCCGGGCAGTGAGAGCTTCGGAAACGCTGCCGGGGGTGTCAGGA